CTCATTCCTGGTATCAGAGCAAAGGCGTTCAGCATTTTATTATTAAGTAACATGTTTGTTGTAGGTTCTTTCTAGATAACCTTAATCAGATTAAGAAAGTTCCTTAGTAGTATGTTTTTCCATTTCTAAAAATAAAGTTTATTTAAAAAGTTATCTTTTTGATAATGATTTCTAACTGTTTTATTTTGATCAGAGAGCATGGTTCATATGATTTTAATCCTTTGAAATTTGAGATTTGCTGTATGGCTCAGGGTATGGTCAATTTTTTATTCTTTATTTATTAATTTATTAATTACTTTTTTATTTTATTTTTTATTCTTTGCATACTTGAAAATAAAGCATATTCTGTAGTCATTGGGGGCAGTATTCCATAGTACCCATTATGCCTACTTTGTTAGTCATGAAGTTTAATTGCTGTGTTTGTACTTNGAAATTTGAGATTTGCTGTATGGCTCAGGGTATGGTCAATTTTTTATTCTTTATTTATTAAATTATTAATTACTTTTTTATTTTATTTTTTATTCTTTGCATACTTGAAAATAAAGCATATTCTGTAGTCATTGGGGGCAGTACTCCATAGTACCCATTATGCCTACTTTGTTAGTCATGAAGTTTAATTGCTGTGTTTGTACTTATTTTTTTGTATGTTTGCACTATCACCTGCTGAGAGAGGTGTGTTAATATGTCCCACTAAGCTTGTGAATTTGTCTGTGTCTCTTTGAGGTTCTGTTCATTTTTGCTTCATATATTTTGAGGCTATTCTGTTAGGTGTAAATAAATGTAAAGTTCTTATATCTTTCTGATTAAAACTTTTATCTTTATGCAGTGGCCCTTTCTATCTCTAGCAATGTATTTTGTCCCATCATTTAAAAAATTTAAATATAAATGAGGGTACTTCAGAAAGTTCATGGAAAGATTCATATGATCTTTTAATTTTGTTTTCCCACGAACTTTTTGAAGCACCCTTGTGTAATTCACATACCATACAATTCACCCTTTTAAAGTATACAATTCAGTGGTTTTTAGTGCATTCACAGAGTTGTGCAGCCATCATCACTATCTAATTCTAGAGTGTTTTCAGTGCCCCAGAAAGAAACCCCATACCTATTATCCTCCCCATGCTCCTTTCCCTCAGCCCCTGGCAACCACTAATCTGCTTTTACTATGGAGTCATATATGTGCTATTTGCTGTCATTTGGCATAATGTTTCAAGGTTTATCTGTATTATAGGTTTATCTGTATTGTATTGTAGGTTTATCTGTATTGTATCAGTACTTTATTCCTTTTTATGACTGGATAAAATTTTATTGTTTGAGTATACCACATTTTGTTTATTCATTCATCAGTTGGTAGACATTTGGGTTGTTTCCATTTTTTGGCTATTACGAATAATACAGCTTTGCATATTTGTGTGCAAGTTTTTGCATGAACATGTGTTTTTAATTCTCTAGGAGTGCAGTTGCTGGGACATAGGGTAACCCTGTGTTTAACCTCTTAAGGAACTGCTAAACTTTTTAAAAGCAGCTTACAGGATTTTACATTCACATCAGCAGTGTATGAGAGTTCCAATTCCTCTAAATCTTCACCAACACTTGCTATTTTCCATTTTAAAAAAATTATAGCCATTGTGTAGATATATCACATTTTTCTTTTTTTTTTTTTTTTTTTTTTTTTTTTTTTTTTTTTTTTTTTCC